CCAATAGCATTTGGAAGACTGTCAACCACAGTGAGACTTCGTGTTACTTGAATTTGAGTCTAGAATATTGGAAGACAGAAACCCTGCCGTCTTGAGGGGATCTGGGTGGGGAAGAAAAAAACCTGAGTGAGCACTTCCAGATAATTCATAAATCCTCAGCTGAGAAGAGTGAAGGGAGTTCAGAAGAATAAGACCTGGAGGGCTCTATGTGATTTAAAGCCTGATCATTTCACGAAAAATCTCAGCACCTACACTGAGGCGTGGCAGAGTGATAGAGGTAGACTCCAGGAGGCTGGGTCTTGCTCCAGCTCTGGACAGAGGGAATCCCACCTTTAATTTGGAGATTCCATTCACTCAGCTACTTTTTATTGAACACACACAGTTATGCTATCCTAGGGAGAAAAAAACCCACCTTTAAAAAATTTTTTAATCAGAAAATGTTTTTGAGATTCATAGGGAAAAAATATGGCCCCATCCGTGTCTTAATTTGTTCCTACCCCCTCACTCCTCACATATTTCACATCTTTAAGCAAAGTATAGAATTAATATTATCACGAATGGGTTCAGGGCCTGGGGTCTGTTAGGAATTAGGACATGATAATACCCTGGGGTTTTACAAAGAATAATGAATTTATTAATATTTGTTGAGAGAAGTATGGTCCACATTTATGGAAGTTACAAACCCAGATTTCAATGACTGTTCTTTCCCATAGTTAAGTTGCTGGTAACTCGCTGTTCAGGATGTACTTAACAAAAGAGCTGATAAAATTTAAGGCTGGAACTCAATATTTTCCTGCACAGTTGCTCCCCAGTGCCCGTTATGTTACGCATCCACCCCCCTTTCTTACCACTGCCTCTCGATTCCCCACGATGTTCTCCACATCCTCATTTCACTGCCCTCCTTTCCTATTTCTCCAACCAACAGCTTTTCCCACCACAGTTCATGAGACTAGGTGTGTTAGTCCTCCAGGGCTGCCGTAACAGAAGACCACATACCAGGGGCTTAAACAATAGAAGTTCATCTTCTCACAGTTCTGGAGGCTGGAATTCCAAGACCAAGGTGCTTGCTCCTCGGCTTGCAGACGGCTGTCTTCTTGCCATGTTGCCCTCACGTGGCCTTTTCTCTGCACGATCAGCCCTGGTATCTCTTCCTCTTCCTATGGGATTAGGACCCCACCCTTATGACCTTATTTAACCTTAATTACCTCCTTAAAGGCCCTATCTCCAAATACAGTCACATTGGGAGTTAGGGCTTCAATGTATGAATTTGGGGGGACACAATTCAGTCCATAGCACTAAGCATGCTTGGTAGTCTCTGCAGTGGTCGAGTGGAGACTTGTCTAGATGCAGAAGGAAAGCCTCATTGTCCACAGCAGCTACCCGAGTGGCTCAGGAGTAACTGAGGCTAAAGGAAACATTGGGGGGCTCTCACTTCTCTGCTAGCTTGTCACCAGACACAACACTGAAGCCCAAGTGCATGGAATTTTGTGAGGCGTGTTTCTCAGCTCACTATCCTCATTAGTTGGTTCTCTTGATTTATTGTTTTCTTCTCACATCATCTGTTCCTATTACCACTTCCATTTTCCTCTCCCCCCATAGTCGCCATCTCTAATGCATTGAACATAGTTCCTTAGACATGAATGAACTTTTGAAAGACATACACTGTTTTGTATATGTTTTAAATTGGAAACCTGTAAACACTGCTTTTGTTAATCGACAAAAGGACACAGTGCTGAGAAACTTTGTTCTCTAAGATCAAAGATTGTTAGAAACTTGGCTGTTCGAAATCTTATCAGTGAGACTGAAGCATTCTGCTTTCGCCTGGCGGACTTGTGTCATTCTGACACAGAGAAGCAGCCAGGTATACAGCTGCAGATAAGGGGATTCTGGACACAGCAGTCTGTATTCATCTGAACTGAGTAGTTTCCAAGGGAACAGGACCCTGAGTCTGCTTGTTGGCCCAGGCCTGATGTTAACCCCTTTGCATACCGTCTTGCTTTAGTTTGAGCTTCTCAAAACATCACTTCATTTAAACTGTACCTAATCTCTACCTTTCCCCAACATCCTATAATAACCGTCTTCTTACCTGTGTTTGGCGGGACGCCCATGTTTCCTCTGGTGAACAGTCTCCCTTGTCACAGCAAATTAATGTTTGGCTTTGATGAGCTACAGGTTTGTCCCTGATAGTCTTTATCAGACAGGCTTTATAAAAATATACATGCATGGTATTACTGAAGAGCCATTCTCTTTTCTTACTTTAAAAAAATCCACACTAGTTTTTTAAAAAGATCTATCCATGTTGTTATGTGTAAATCTAATTCATTACTTCTAATGGCTGGATAGAATTTCATCTTAAAGCACATCCACACTCCCACACACCATATTTTTTTATCCATTCTCGTAATGGTAGACACCAGAGTTGCCTCCAGTTCTTTTGCGCTACAAACAATTCGTGTCCTCTTATGCATATCATCATGCATTTTCTCTTATGGACCTGCTTGAGAATTTTCTAGGATGTATATCTAAGTAGTACTCCTGATAGCTAAGCTGTACTGCCATAGTACTGCCAAGTACCATCAGAATGGGAGCTCCAATTTACATACTTGCCAGCTCTCCCTATTATCTGCTTTCAAATGTTTTCCAATTTGATAGGTGTAAAGTGGTATTCCATTTTTGTTCTGATTTGTATTTCTTTGAGCTCAAGTGAAGTCAAGCATCTTTTCTATGTTCATTACCTATTTATTTTGCTTCCATGAATTGCCTATTAATATTCTCTCTCCCTTTAAAAAAAACTTGGCTTTCTGTCTTTATACAAATAAAGCATAAGAGCTAGTCTTTGCCTTGTTATAATTTATAATTAAGCAGAAATAATTCACAATTAAGCAGAAATTAGAGAAGAGTGGAGTGCTGTACTATGTGGTACCTCCTGAAAGTGCAAAAGACAATCCTCTGAGATTAAAACCGTCATGGGTTGATGTTTTTAGAGGCAGTTGGGAGAGATTTGAAAGTATAGGAAAGACGTAAGTGGTGGAGAAGAGACAATGTTCCATACTATGGCAGGCAGCATGGACAAATGCCAGAGGAAGAAAGGTAGGTGTTAGTTCCAGAAAAAGCAAGGAGACCAGCTTCAGTGGAGGATACAGTTGGGGTAATGGTAAATTTGGGTAAATAAGATTTAAATCAGGAAGAGGGACTTGTAGGTCCCTGGGCAGAGAACTAACACGGTCAGAAGTGGTTGCTATGGTTTGAATGTTTACATCCCCCTGAATTCATATGTTGAAATCCTAACCCCCAAATATAATAGTATGTGGAAGTGAAGCCCTGGGGAGGTGCTTAGGTCGTGAGGGCAGAGCCCTCAGGAATGGGATTGGTGCCTCTACAAAAGAGTCTCCAGAGGGATCCCTGGTCCATTTCACCGTGTGAGGACACAGTGAGAGCCTGCTATGAACAAGAAAAAGGGCCTGACCTGACCCTGCCGGCGCCGTGATCCTGGACTTCCAGCCTGCACAACTATGAGAAATAAATTTCTGTTGTTTATAAGCTACTCAGTCTGTGGTATTTTGTTATAGCAGCCTGAATGGGTGAAGACAGTGGTATTTTAGAAAGATCTGATTTTTCTCATGGCAAAGGGATCAAGAAGGTAGACCAGTGATTGGAGCAGACTGTAGGTAAAAAGTGAATGTTTATCGAATTGAACAGAAAATATGTACTGAGGTGTTAACATTGGAATTGAAAGAGAAAGGATAATTAGAAAGATTTAAGAAGGAATAGGGGGCCGGCCCCTCGGCTTAGCGGTTAAGTGCACGTGCTCCACTGCTGGCGGCCCGGGTTCGGATCCTGGGCGCGCACCGACGC